TACTGTAGCCTTTGGATATAACGATGCGTCGCACGACGCCTTTTGTTGACGGCGGTATTTTTATTTGATACTTAAACGATGATTCCAGGATGGTTAAACGTAGATTAGGCTCTAAGTTGATTAACGTTTCTTTACGGGCCTACTTATAATAACCATAATTTACACCTCTCATGTTGTGTTGTTATCTTACCGCTGCATGTAAAACCTTATTCTACGCCTTGTCGGCAACGCGTCTGCCTATTAAGAAGTATCAGAATTTTGTTGTCTAAATAAACGCTTAGGAAACAATACAGTAGTAATTGTCATCAGCACATACTGTATTACTTCTTTTCCACGTCAATCTAAACTATCTATCTTTGTGGATCTAGTGACAGCGTTTATAAGCACAGCTTTGTTCTTACGGCAAGCCCACACGACCGGCTACTGCTGTACATGTAACATGTACGATTTAGCAATACCAGAAACCCACTCAGATAACTTATTATTAATAATGCTAATATCTTTACAATAAAAAAATTGAAATTATCATTTTAGTCAGTGTAACTCGCAGATCCTACTGAGTACAGAGTATTTAGTATACTTAAACCATGTCCTCGGAAACACGCATGCTTACGTGTACGCTAAGCACCCTGCCCTCCGTTTAGTACTCAAATATCAATGCATTATGAAAAAGTATAAAATATTAAAACGATCCCGCCTTCGGATAATGTATTAGCTTTGTGCAAATCCCATATGTAAACTGGGAAACACATGCATTTATTGATGTCAACTACACATTCTAGTTTTAACCAATTGAAGCCACCTTCGCTGCGCTCGGCAGCCAGTAGAAATATTTGAATTATTTTATCCAATGATTTGTCCGGAAAAGCGTGACAGGCACGACAATTTAGTGTGACGGACAGACAGGTTGCTGCAGTAGATGTTTAAGACTAGCCGTTCGCCGCCGCTACGCGGCGGAGTGGCATGGTTTGTTGGAGATGCGGTGGCCGCGAATTTACGTGCTTCTTGGTGTCGCGTACTTTGTTAGCGTCGCTCACCCCAGTACGTCGTGGCTTCGTGTACTTAACCGCTCTTCCGTGATCTTCTTGGCTTCGTGGTTCTCTGTTCACCCGTGGTCCACGCTGTTTGTGGATATGCGCTCTTGAGCTTATGCACTTTAGTACAGCCTCTTTCGTGGCTCCTAGCTATTCTCTGTTCTCAAACGTTTACGCGAGCTGTACCGCTTTCGTGATACATAGGCATTCGTGGCCGTTGGCCTCCCATCGTCGGTACTCTAACCAAAGGGTGCTATTTCGTGCTTTGGTGCATCCATGCAGTCGTGTGGTTCCGTCGCCCGTGCATCGTGATCTCCTGATGAAGTGTCATCGACCGCGGTATCACACTATCGTGCAATCGCGGTGTGGTTATGCTTTCTATGGTATTGTGCACGTGTAGTGCATCTGCGTTGTCCGTGTTATCGTGCTCTACGATGCCATCGTGCTCCACGGTGTGTAATCGTGGCCATACCAAGCCACCCCCCTGTGCATTTGAAGGGGGGGGTCCGCAGTCCGTGCAATCGTGTTATCATGTACTGCTTGTCCTCCGTGGCTCGGTAAGC